GCCACAGCCAACCAGAGGTCTCCTTCAAAGCACGGGAGCCCATCTGCCCCTGGGGCCCTGCAGCTGACCTCAGGCTCTGCGGGGCCTGCCCAGCCAGGGAATGTAGCAGGGGCTGGGCCAGGCCCTACTGAGGGCTTCACAGAGAAGAATGTGCCTGGTGAGGTGGGGGCACTGGGCAGGGGGATGAATGGTCTACAGCCATGTTGGGTACCATTTCCTGGGCTCATCCCAGTGTCCTATTTTTCCCACCTAGAAAGTTCCCCACATTCCCCCTGTGAGGGTCTCCCATCTGAGGCATCTTTGACCCCAAGGCCAGAGGGGAAGGTTCCCAGCCGCCTGGCACTTGGCAGTCGTGGAGGCTATAATGGACGGGGCTGGGGCTCCCCAGGGCGACCCAAGAAGAAGCATACAGGTAGGACAGCCCTCAGAATGGCATGAAGGGAAGGATATTAAAGCTTGGGACTCCTGGCTTCTGAGATGAACTTGTCTTGGGTTTTAGGCATGGCCAGTATTGACAGCAGTGCCCCTGAAACAACATCAGATAGTTCCCCCACCTTAAGCCGGAGGCCACTTCGAGGTGGCTGGGCCCCTACCTCCTGGGGTCGAGGACAAGACAGTGACAGTATTAGCAGCTCTTCCTCGGACTCCCTGGGCTCCTCATCCTCCAGTGGAAGTCGTCGGGCCAGCGCCAGTGGAGGGGCCAGGGCAAAGACAGTTGAAATTGGCAGGTCAGTGGAAAGAAACACACATTGGCCCTGATCTGCCTACTCTCAGGGGCACATCCCTAGTGTGATCCGAGCATTGTCCCCCAATGCCTCACCCTGGTCCTTCCCAACCTACCTGGACATCCACTTCAGAGAAACGCCAACCCCCATCCCTGTCCCATTGCCCCTTCAGGTACAAGGGCCGCCGCCCCGAGAGTCATGCCCCTCATGTACCCAATCAGCCATCAGAGGCAGCTGCACACTTCTACTTTGAGCTGGCGAAGACAGTGCTGATCAAGGCAGGGGGCAACAGCAGCACTTCCATTTTCACACATCCATCTTCCTCAGGGGGCCACCAGGGTCCTCACCGCAACCTGCACCTTTGCGCCTTTGAGATTGGGCTTTATGCCCTTGGCCTGCACAACTTTGTTTCTCCCAACTGGCTCTCACGTACCTATTCTTCCCACGTTTCTTGGATTACAGGTAAATTTAATGTCCTGCTGTGGGTAGGATGGGGTTATTGGTGGAGCTAAGAGCCTCATCTTTGTGGCATTACTAGTTTGGTGGGCACCATCATCCACTTGCCCTCACGGTGTCCACCCTAACCCCAATTTGCTTGTTTTTCCCCGAAGGGCAGGCAATGGAGATTGGCAGTGCAGCCCTGACTATACTGGTAGAATGCTGGGATGGGCACTTGACGCCCCCTGAGGTCGCATCCCTGGCTGACAGAGCATCACGGGCACGGGATTCCAATATGGTGAGGGCAGCAGCGGAGCTGGCCCTAAGCTGCCTGCCTCATGCCCACGCGTTGAACCCCAATGAAATCCAGCGGGCCCTGGTGCAGTGCAAGGAGCAGGTATTTCTATAGGCAATCTGGGAGCCCTGGCAGGGAGGTTGGGGTTGAAGGCCAGCTCTTTATTTTTTGAGATGGGGTTTTGCTATGTTGTTCAAGATGGCCTTGAACTCATGATTCTCCTGTCTCAGCCTCCAGAATAATGGGACTACAGGCAGGATACCATGCTAGAGTGAGGGCTCAGCTTTTGATTCCATATTCAGGAGTTTACAAAGTATCCAGTTTGTCCTTACATGTGACATTTTAGATATCACAGGCTAAGTATCTTATCTGAAGTGTTTCAGATTTCAGATTTTGGAATATTTTGTCTATATATAAAATGAGGTATCTTGAGGCTAGGACCCAAGTCTAAGCATAAAATTTAGTTATCTTTCATATATATTTGATGCAATATAAACTGAAAGTTATCTTATACAATTATTTTAAATAATTTTGTGCATGGGGCCAAATTTCTTCATTTCCCACTTATGGCATGTTGCCCAAAAAAATTTTGGATTTGGGATGCTGCTGAACCTGTACTATGCTTTCATGGGCATTGTGTTCTTTATATCTCTAAAGTGAGGATTATCCCTACTTTACAAATAAGGAAATAAAGGCTTATAGTTTAAGGACCAATGAAGATGGCCCAGGATGGAAAATTTAATGAAGGCCTCAGGGAGATGATGAGGGTTAGATGGGAGAGATGGTTGAACTAGTTTGAAACTGGGCTTATAATCTGGGCCTTGACTCCTATTAGTCAGCAAGTGTTTGTGTTCACTGTCTGTGAGAGGCACTCTCATTGCTCTGCCACAAACTGAGTGTTTACCCTGACCTGATCCCAACCCCGAGACAACTTTGAAAGACATATGGACATCATTCCTGGGTGAGACCTTTCCCCTTTAACACTCTGTGCCCCCTCTTCCAGGATAACCTGATGTTGGAGAAGGCCTGCATGGCAGTGGAAGAGGCGGCTAAGGGTGGGGGCGTGTACCCCGAAGTGTTGTTTGAGGTTGCTCACCAGTGGTTCTGGCTATATGAGCAAACAGCAGGTGGCTCATCCACAGCCCGTGACGGGGCTCCAAGCTGTAGTGCCAGTGGGATCAGGGCAGCTGGGGAGGCTGGGCGGGGGCTGCCTGAGGGCAGGGTGGGGCCAGGGACTGAACCTGTAACAGTGGCAGCAGCAGCAGTGACGGCAGCAGCTACAGTGGTTCCAGTCATCTCAGTGGGGTCCAGTTTATATCCAGGTCCAGGGCTGGGACATGGTCACTCCCCTGGCCTGCACCCCTACACTGCTCTACAGCCCCACCTGCCCTGCAGCCCTCAGTACCTCACCCACCCAGCGCACCCCGCCCACCCCATGCCTCACATGCCCCGGCCTGCCGTCTTCCCTGTGCCCAGCACCGCATACCCGCAGGTGAGCCGTGACCCAGTGTTCTGCTAGGAGTAGGCGAGTGGGAGGACACTGGGAGGGTGGGGTTGGTTGTGGCATACTCTGTCCCAAAGACCTGGTGAGGTGGTGGGAGTCTGGGGAACCCAGCCCAAATAAGAAAGGCATCCCCATTTGTGGGGTGGAGAGCACCACATCCCGCTGTAACTTGGTGTCTCCCTTCTCTTCCTCCCCTGCCTTTAGGGTGTGCATCCTGCATTCCTGGGGGCTCAGTACCCTTACTCAGTGACTCCTCCCTCACTTGCTGCCACTGCTGTGTCTTTCCCTGTCCCTTCCATGGCACCCATCACAGTCCATCCCTACCACACAGAGCCAGGGCTCCCACTGCCCACCAGTGTGGCCTGTGAGTTGTGGGGACAGGGAGCAGGTGAATGGAAGGGAGGCACATGGACGGGAGAGGTGGGGGCATTCTTTTCTGCCCCTTGCACTCAGATCTCACGGCTGTCCTTACACTCTCAGTGAGCAGTGTCCATCCAGCACCCACGTTCCCAGCCATCCAGGGTGCTTCCCTGCCAGCCCTGACCACACAGCCCAGCCCCCTGGTGAGCGGGGGCTTCCCACCGCCGGAGGAGGAGCCGCACAGCCAGCCGGTCAACCCGCACAGCCTGCACCATCTGCACGCTGCTTACCGTGTCGGTCAGTGGGCCCGAGGCTCTTGCGGGGACCCCTTCCACTCCCTGTTAATCTGTGTACCACGGAGTCAGATGCCAGGCTGGGCTCAAGGGTAAAGCAGATGTACTCCGCCATATGACCCCCTTGCGTTGCAGGAATGTTGGCGCTGGAGATGCTGGGTCGCCGGGCACACAATGATCATCCCAACAACTTCTCTCGCTCCCCCCCTTACACTGATGATGTCAAATGGTTGCTGGGGCTGGCAGCAAAGCTGGGTAACACCTCCCCTCCCAAGGACCATTGTCCCCCCGACTCGCTCCCCCACCTTCCTATCCCAGACCTCCTTCCTAGCTCTTGCTCAGAGTTGAGGCCTTGGTCGGGTATGTGTGCGTGCGCGGGGGGGCGGAGGTGACCTCAGCTCCTGGGGTGGTGGGAGGCGCTCTGCCAGGCCAGAGCTGAGATACAGAAGTTGGGTCCCTAGGGCAGAGGTGGCCACCCCCGTCTCATGCCCCTCCCCCTGCCCCCCAGGAGTGAACTACGTGCACCAGTTCTGTGTGGGGGCAGCCAAGGGGGTGCTGAGCCCGTTTGTGCTGCAGGAGATCGTCATGGAGACGCTGCAGCGGCTGAGCCCCGCTCATGCCCACAACCATCTGCGTGCCCCGGCCTTCCACCAGCTGGTGCAGCGCTGCCAGCAGGCTTACATGCAGGTGACAGTCCAGGAAGCATGGGGGGGTGTGCTCAGCGTGTGAGGGAGGAGGGGCACAGCCCTGTGCTTCATACCAAGACTCACCCCCCACCCATCCTCCTCCATCCAGTACATCCACCACCGCCTGATTCACCTGACCCCTGCCGACTACGACGACTTTGTGAACGCCATTCGCAGTGCCCGCAGCGCCTTCTGCCTGACACCCATGGGCATGATGCAGTTCAACGACATTCTGCAGAACCTCAAGCGCAGCAAGCAGACCAAGGAGCTGTGGCAGCGGGTCTCACTCGAGATGACCACCTTCTCCCCCTGAGTCTGGCCTCCCTAGGGGCCTGGACAGGGACACAGGCCTGTAGCTATGGGGTCCCCTCACACAGAGGGAGTGAGTCTTGGCCGGACAGATCACTCCCACTCAGTTCCCTGGGAGCCCTGACTGGCAGCTGCTCTTGGGCTGTAGCTTGGGGCCAAGATGTCTCAGACTCTAGAAGCCTAGGGCTGGGGGAGATAGGCCTGTCTGGGAGGGGGCCCTGGGTGGCCTCTGGTATTTATTTGGCATTTATAAATATATAAACTCCTTTTTTACTCTAGTTTACTGGGCTTTCCCTTTTTTCCTTTCATGTGCAGCTGAACCTTGAACCAGAGGTAGAATGCCTGATTCTGCTTTTAAGTTTTCCTCATTTCATTAAGCCAAACAAAACAGAAAAATAAGGATGTTTATTAAGGACATTTCTGGCCCACAGCCAGGGCTCATACTTAGCTCTATGAGCCACTGTCCGACCTCATCCCCATTCAATGTGAATGACCTTAGGGAGGCCGGGCCACAGGTAGATCCCACTGCCTGACTAAAGGGGCCACTGCAAGGGGGGTTCCTCCCATAGCCATAGACAGATACACTGCTTGGGATGAAGAGGGAAACCATTGGGTTAATACATTCCTCTCCATCCTGCCTGGACCCTCGCACTCCTCCCCACCTCCTAAGTTCATGAGTCAAAGGTACCTAGTACCATGTTACAGGGCTGTCAAGGAAGCCCCTTTATCAGGCTCCAGAGCTATGGGAAAGGAATGCCCTTCCCTTCTCAGCCATCCCAGGCCTGACAGCCACTGAGGTAGAAGGGGGAAGAGGGCAGGCCACTCTTAATCCCCCGTGGGACCTGCTCTGGGCTTTCTCCTTTGGGAAATAGGGCATTATGCTGGCATAGAAGGCTGGAACATCAGCCCAGACTGGAATGCTGCAGTTCTTCCCGAAGCCATGAGGGGACTGGTTGCCCAAGCCGGCTCAGCAGCTTTGACAGCTCCAAGTTATGGTTCCGGAAAAAGTCCGTAAGGAAGAGGCGGGACTGAAGGAGAGAAGTGAAGGGAGAAACAGTAAGGAGTAGGACCATGTCAGCTTCTCTGAGTGGAGTGTGATACCCTGCCCCAGTTGTCACTGACCTCAGTATCCATATCTGGGTACCTCCGGCCTTTGCTCTTGCCTAGGCAGCGAGTCTTACCACTTTCAAGTCCCTGGCACCAAAATCCCTTATCTTCATCAAACCTGCCCAACAGGAAAAGGCGATTAGGTGGGAAGGAGAAGAGAAATCCAAGCCCGATAAATGCACACTACCCCTCCCAGCCCACAGGAACTCCCTCCTTGTGAGACAGGATAAATCCTTGTCTTCACAAACATGATCAACCTGCTTGCCCATTTCCCCAGAGATTCCGCCCCTGGGTCATGCTCTCCCACCTGAGGGTCCGTGTGTAGTTCAGAAAGGGTGTGATACCCAGGAACTTCTGGATGCTCTCCATTGAGGCTGCTGGGTTGTTACGCAGCTCTTGCCCATCCACAATCAGCAACTAAAGGGACAGGGATGTGGTTCCCTCTATATTCCTAGGAAGCTGCTGGGCTGGAGGGAAGGCCACCCTAACGTAGACTCTTGGGGAACTGTACCTGTCCAGAGGGGTAATACATCAGCCAGCGTTGTAGGTGGGTAGAATAGTAGCCAGGGACAAGACAGCGGTTCTGCAGGGAGCGAAGTACCAGGGGAGCCTTCGAGGAGGCTGAAATCACCTGGTAGAAGGTATAGTTCAGAGCAACTGGGTCTCCGTGAGCTCGCTGGTGCTGAAGGACAGGGCGTAGGAAGGCGAGGAGCTGGTGACTCGACAGAATTATTCTGCACTTATCCCTGGTCTGGTGACAGCACAGGCACCCTTCCTCAAGATCTAGTTTAGTTTCCCTACCCTCATTCCTGTCTTCCCTCCCATTCCACTCCTTGCCTTTCAGCCCCACATGTCCCCAGCTTCAGGCAGACCTGGTACCAGGAGTAGGCCCTGTCAGCAGGGTTGGTGAGCACAGTGATGATCTTAGCTCGTGGCAGGAGGGCAGACCCCCGCCGTGGTACAACCTCTGAGTCAAAGTAAGTGGCACTTTTTTCAAACAGGAAGTCAGTGCTGGCATTGGAAGGAACAGGAAAGAAATCCATGTACCTAGGAAGCAGAAGAGAGGAAAGGCGGAGATATTTTCAGAGTGAAGCGGTCAGATGTTGGTGCTGGTAGAAGCTGGGTATTTTTGAAGAAGGAAATGTTCCCCTGAGAAGTTTTTCAAGGAGCTCCAGTCTCACCAGTCAATACCCTTGTGGTAATTAGGGCCATTGAAGAACTGAATCTCCTCAAAGGTGCTGGGGCTAGGGAAGCTGCTAGTCACAGCTGGGTGCAGGCTCAGGAAGAAGTGAATAGCTGTGGTCCCTAAATGAGAGAGAAAGACCAAGCCATTGTGGGGAAGAACCCAGCTGAACAGCATGAGTTTGAAGGCAGCAAGAAAATAAGCACTCTGGGTAGTAAAATCTCTTTTGGACAAACTATGTTGAGGAAGGAAAGCCTGAGAAAGGCACAAGATAGTTAAAACAGTGGCTCTCAGCCTTGACTATCAAAATCACTTGTGGATTTTTTTTTTGGTGGTAGTATCAAGAATTGAACTCAGGGCCTTTGCACTGAGCTACATCCCTTTAAAAAGCTCTCTTTTAAAATTTTTTATTTTGAGACTTGCTCTTGCTAAATTGCCCAGGCTGGGCTTCAACTTGCAATCCTCTTGCCTCAGCCTCCCAAAGTGCTGGGATAATAGGCATACGCCACTGTGCCCACTACTTGTAGATCTTTTAAAATCCTCACAGGTGGGACTGGAGATGTACCTCAGCAGCAGAGGGCTTGCCTAGCATGCGTGAGGCCCTGGGCTTGACTCCCAACACTGCAAAAAAAATGAAACAAAAACCACAGATGATTTTGATATACAACTAGAGTTAAGAATCCCTGTCTCAAGAGCCTGGATTAAAGAGGCGGGGGTATGAGAAGGGAATTGCTTGGCAAAAGAACCTTTGAGTTCAAGGCAGGGCAAGAGAAACTGACTAAGGATGATTTACCTGTCTTCTGGGGTCCCACAATGAGGAACTTGGGGAGCCGATCACAGGTTTTCTCCTTGGACCAGATATCTTTGTGCCTCTTGTCATCACAGGGATTCTGAAGGCGAGGCCAAGACTCCCATAAGGCTTAATTGCTTAAACTCCACCCCCCATGTGTCTCTGGTCATCTGGGCTCCACCCTTACCTGCCAAAGGGGGCTTCGCTCCTGAGGGAAGAGTTCAAAGTACTTTCGTGCAAGAGGAACAGGAGGGAGGGTCTGTAGGCGCAGCCTTGTCCAGCACTGAAGGAAGCGCACTAGGCTCTCAAAGGTATACAGGCCCAGGCGGTCATTTCCATAATTGGACAGATGGGTCATAAAGATGCTGATCTGCAAGGGGGTGCCTGCATGTCAGATGGAGTGTCTACCCCACCTCAGAAGCAGCCTTGATGAGTAAAGTCCCAGTCTGAAAATATTTTGGCTCTCCAATCTTCGAGCCTTTCCTCTCGGCACCTTACCGGATTAAGCAGCACCGTCAGAAAGAGCTCTCCACCTCGGATGCTCCGGTCTAATTCACGAGAGCCTCCAGGATACTCGTTATAGAAGATTGTATGAGTGAAGAGGCCACACGTCTGCCGGGGCAGCACCTGCAGGGAGAAGAAACAGGGATGGATGTGATGTGAAAGACAGAATGTGAAGATGAAGAAGGACAAAAGTCCTGAGGCACTGTGATCCTGACTTTACAGAAGGCCCGTATAGGAAACTTCTCCCCTTGATGTTACAGCAATAAGGCTCTTACTGTGTGCACTATGGCTTTCCATAATGACTTTTACCCCCATTAAGGATACTCTTGGACTGGCAGTTGGGAAGCCCTAAGTTAAGGCAGATTGGAGGCTGTCTAACTGTGGGACTTTGATTCCGTTTCGTAGTAGGAGTCCCTCACCATGATGTCATTGTGAATGAAGCCACGGCGGTAGCGAGCAGGGCGGAGATGGGGATATTCCTCAGTGCTGGTCACCTGGATGCCCCATACAGATTTCCAGGCCTCATAGAGCTGCGTGTGGATGGGGTACACACCCGAGTGGTGGGGGGCCACAGCATAGCCCAGATCCGTGGGAATCCCATGCTCCTGGGAATGGCATAGACTCTCACCAGGACCTGGTGAGGTTTGGGGAGTAGAGGGCAAAGAGGGTGGGGATTCTTCCACAGAAGGAAGACTAGAGGAGGCAGGAGGGGAAGGTTGAAAAGGAAGTGGTCTAGGAGTCTCACCAAAGCAAACTGTTTGTTGAGCCTCATCTGGTCAGCCAGCACGGAGCGATTGTGGAATAGGTGTGGCTGCATGTGGCTCCACATGTGGGGGAACCACCAGAATTCTTTGCGGTGTTTCAGCAGCATGTCGTCTCCAGCATCCTCCTCCTCTGTCCCTATGACCACACACTGACTGCTGACCACAATCAGTCAGCCCGTGTCCTTCTGTTTTGTTATAACACTGACCACTTTCCATCCTTGGGACATTAATGATCCCTGCTCACTTGAGACTTTCCATTTGCCCCAGTGCCAACTTGCTCTGCAGCCACCCATGCTAAATTCCCACCCAACACTATCTCCTCAGAGCGGTCTGACCCCAAACCTTGCCCTCCCCTTCTCCAGCTTGTCTGCTCATGGGAAGGACAGTGAAGGGACAGCTCAAACTAAGACTACTGTCCTGAAGGAGCAGGGGAAGAAGCTCACCAGTATGGTAGAACTTGCCCGAGAAGCCCAGGTTGAAGGTGAAGTTGGGGACTAAGGTCCTGAGTTTGTTCTGGGTGGTCAACAGAGCCTACGAAAAGTAGCAGAGACATGAAAAATCAAGACAGAGCAGGCTGAGCAGGGATACATTAGAAGTAGCTTTCCTTCTGCCTGCAAGGGGCAGGAAGTGTACCTACGACAAGCAGAGAATCAAGGGAGGGAGTATGACAGGCCAGAGCCTAAACAGCTTCTAAGAAAAGTGAGGGGGGCCGGGCCTGGTGATGCACACCTGTGATCCCAGCACTTGGGAGGCTGAGGTAGGAAGACTGTGTTGAGTTCCAGGCCAGCCTAAGTGAGCTACAAAGCACCAGGTCTCCAAAAAAAAAGTGAGGGGAAGACTGACCTCAACATCAGACACCTTCATGCGGGTACCTTCTTTGCCCACAAAGATGTCATCAATGTCTACCAAGATATAGCGGTCAAGGTCCAGGCAGAGGCGCTTGCCAGTGAGGTACGCAACAGCATCAACGAAGACAAGTTTATGGAGCCAGAAAGAAAGGCCATGGCCAAAGAGCACCCGCTGAATGCCATCATGAAGTCCCAGGTCCTGCACCACAGTGGGGAGCCGGGCACGACGAGGCACTGGTCCTGGCACAGGGGGCTCAGCTGGCTGCAGGTTAGCCAGAAGCACTGGTTCATATGTGCTGTGGTTGGACTGGAAGATGGTCCAGTCATCACCAGGCAGTGGCCCAGGTTCTAGGCGGCTGGGGCGCGTGAGATGCAGTAGAGGGGCAGAAGGATTCACTTGGTAGTCGCGGAGCCCCAAGTTTGAATGTAGAAAAAGAGGAAAGCCCTTGAGCTGGGCACTCAGTAGGCTGTGCTCATGGGCTCGGAAAAAGCCAATGATGCCCACACCATACTCCACACAGTACCGGTCTAGCAACTCCCGACTCCAGGCATCCAGGTTGACGTACTTGAGCAGGTTCTCATAAATGACCAAGACATAGCGGCCACGGGTATGATCAGTCAATGTGGGCATGTCCCCTCGGCCAGGTGCTAGCTCAGTGCTATAAGGAAAACGACTAGACTCCAAGATGGCTACGATCTCCTGCCCCAGCTGCGAGTATGCACTCTCTACAAACACAAGTACCACGGGTTCAGTTCGAGCTGTTTCTGGAGGCCTGGGAGGCCGAGGTGGGACTGGAGGCTGTGCAGGGCCAGGGCCAGCTGCCCCACTGCTGCTGCAGTCTAAGGGCAGGGGTAGGGGTTCCTTGGCCTTGGGGCTGGTAGACACGTAGTAAGCCAGGAAGCCCATGGAGCCCAAGCTGAAAGCAATCAGCAGCAGTATGAGGCGGTGCAGTTCCTGCTGCCGAGCTGGGCATAACACCTTCCAGAGCTGAAGCATGGCGAGGGGAAATGGAGGAATGGGGACCACCTCAGGGGATGGGAGGCAGGAGTTCTACAGCCTGGAACAGTCTCGGGAGGATAGAGGGTAGGAAAATGGGATCAGTTCCCTGAAGAGGTGGAGACAAGTCCTCTTAGTACAGGGTAGGGGAGAGAGAAGGAGCAGCAAGGGAGGGCTGGACAGAGTCCACTGGCCTCAGGTCACCATGGCCCCCTGGTCCATGGCTTCAGGTTGCAAATCTAGCCAGGTTCCACCTTGGCTCTGATGAAGTTCCTCACATCAGAAGTCAGCAAACTTCACAATCTGGCCCCGCTACCTGTAAAACAGAAATATCGATGATCCATTACTTCTCCCCTTAAAACTATCTTTAATCCATACTCTTCTTCCCCCTCTCTCTTACTTCTTGCTCACTTAAGATTTGTTCCCCAAAACAAACAAAAAAAACCCCTAAAAGCTCCTGTAGAAGACACAGCTATACCTTATCTTATACCTTAGCTTCTCACCTGTTTCCTTTCTTAGGATATCCAAATTCTAAGCTCAGAGCTAGAGTAGTATGCTCAAATTCTCCCACCTACAAGGGGCCAAACAGCTGAAAACAGGCCTGCTTTGAAAGGAGTTCCCAGCCTGTGACTGGCAGTTGGCCAGCAAGCAAGAGCTCTGGTCTTCCTGTGACCAGAGAGAGAAAGCCCCAGAGTCCCGTGTTCCAACAAAATATCAGATAAGAGGAAACTCATGAGTCTGTTTATCTGCCACATCAATCAAACCCATCATCATAGCTAACAGCACTAACGAACTTGCAGTCATGTGGACACTATGGTGGGGGAGTTCAAGCAAAGAGAAATGGTTCAACTGTTCTACTGGCTTCTGAACCCATAACCTGGACACTTCTCCATTACCTACTTGTTGCCTTTCATCTAACCTGTGCCAAAGTGAGGACAGGAGATAAAAATGGAGACCTAGAACAGGCTATGTAACTAGTACCTGAGAAAAGCGAGAAAGCAGTCTAGACTCTCTGTGTCCATTCCAGTTCTCTTTCTTAACTTAATGGAGGTGGAAGCTTTACAGTCATACTCTTCACCTTAGCCACTCTATTAAGGCCAGTGACTTGCAATCTCTTACTGTCACCTACCCCAATACCCACATCTCAGTGGTGAATATGGAGAGGTAAGTCTTTCAAAACTGAGAGAGATGATTTAAGAACAGTTCAGCTTTTTCCTGGGTAAAACAAATCAACATGAGAAGAGATCTGGGAGAGACAATAAAAACTGTGATGGGGGGTAGGGTGCGAGTGTAGCTCAGTAGTAGAGCATGTGCTATGGATGTGTGAGGCCCTGAGTTTAATCCATAACCATACATCCACACACAAGTGATGGAAAGGGGTGAATCCTCAGAATTAGAGGAGAGTTTCGGGAAAACACAGTAGTGAGGAGATGTCATTGAGGGCAAGTTGATACTTGGGCTGTATCACCGATATTAATATTTATTGAGAGCTTACTACTTGCCAGACATTCTTCTAAGAGATTTGCATATACGGATGGTTCCCAATCTTTGATGGTTTGACATACAATGGTATGTGGTAGGCATTTAGTATAAACCGAACTTTGAATTTTTTTCTGCAGTGCTAGGGATTGAACCCAGGGCCTTGCATATGCTGGGCAAGTATTCTATCACTAAGCTATAGCTCCAGCCTCTAGATTTTGATTCGGATCCTTTCCCAGCTAGTGGATATGTGGGCTAGTAAATATATGGTACAATACTCTTGTCACATCGGGCAGTGGCAGTGAGTTGCAGTTCCGAGCAAACTATACAATCAGGTTAAACAACTGACACTCTGAGCATCCTGGACGCTGAGCTATGGTGTTTGTTAGGTGTATTAAATGCCATTTTTGACCTAGGATACGTCAAGCTTATGATGAGTTTATCAAGATGTAAAACTCTATAGTAAACCAAGAAGCTTCTGTATTTAATCCTCATACCTACCCTAAGAGATAGGGAAGAAATAGATACTAATATTCCCATTTTATATTTTGAGTAATTTAGGCCCAGAGAAGTTTAGTAACTTGCCCAGGATCAAACTGCTAGTCAGTGGAGGAACTAGGCGTCAAAGTCAGGCCTGTCAAGCTCTGGAGTCCACGCTGTTAACCACTGCATTTTAACTTCACACCTAGGAAGAAGCGGCAATATTTAGGGGAGGGGTAATGGAAGAACCATGGTGGTGAGATGCGGGCTGGGATGTTAAATACCAAAGGGGGAGCATGCGGTTGTGTGTGTGTGCAGCAGCGAGAGGTTTCTAAAGAGGGGGAAACCTAAGGATCATCAGGGCCGGCCGGGCGGGAGGCGCAGCACTAACAGGACCGGCAGGCTGGGGGTGTGGGCCCTGAGCGGGGACGGGCAGCACAGATGCTGTGGAAGAACGGGGCACCGAGTGGGCACCGGGGCTCTCGAACGGAGGGACCTCGCTGGGGGACACGGGCTTACAGGTAGCAATGAAGAGTGTGCGGACGGAGGCACTAAACGGGAAGGGGAAGGACCGCACCACCGACTCTGGGTGACTCTGGGGCAGGTTCTCAGCTGGAAAAGCCAGGAGGGAGCAAAGTAAGCAAGGGGCAACTGTGACAGAGGCTAGTGGAACATGGGGCGACAGGCGCGCTGGGCCACACGAGGGGCCGCCCCAGCCGACCCTGCGGGTGGTTATGGTGGCAGCGGCTCCCGGGAGTCCGCGAGGGGAGGTAAGGAGGACGACCGTGGGTGGGGGCCACACTCTGGGGGGGGGGTGTTCCCCTCGAGGGCAGCTCACCCGGCGGAGTGGGCGGCGTCCCTGCGGTCCCCGGGCTCCGCTGCGTCCCGGGGCTGCCCGGCTTCCCAGCTCTCGGGCCCTCGGGCCGCGTCGCGGCTCCGCCATCTCCGAGCGTCCGCTCTACCGCAGCCGGGCCCAACCACTGTTCCCAACAGGGGGAAACGGCGCGCTGCTGCTCGCGGCACCCGTCAGGTCCCCGCCGGCTCAGAGGACGGCAGCCAAGCTCCCGGGTGCGGCGAACCCAGATGGTCCTCCTCAGCGCTCGGCCGAGCCACGACCTCCGAGACAGCGGGCTCCGGGACGTAGCTGCAGAAGCGCACCCCCTCCCCTCCGGGTGGCACAGTCTGGCCAGCGTCGGGCGCCGCGGCCGGGGAGCTGGGGCGGGCCGAGGGACGGGCTCGACCACTCAGCCGCGCCGAGGGGAGGCCGGGTCGGCCTACTAAGGGCGGGGGTGGGGGCGTCGCTCATCCTGGGCAGGGGCGGGGCCGGGTGAGACCTTTAGCCCTTGCCTAAGGGACCTCGTCCTCGCCACCATCCCAGTTGTCCCAGAGACCCCAGAGACTGGAGACTGAATTTATGAAGTCTTCTTCTAAGACGTGCCCAAAGGGAGAGGGAGAAGATATCTTTCTCCATTTGAGGCCTCGTAAAGTAGGATGTTAAAAACCTAAACCCCTGGGCCGGGGATTTGGCTCAGTGGCGCCTGCGCCTGCCTTGCAAGCACAAGGTCCTGAGCTTGATCCCTGGTGTCAAAAAACCCAAAAAAACCTAAACCCCTGGCCATAAGCTTCCAACAGCAGTAACACAATGGACTGTTTAAAGGTTATTTATTAAATATCTTCAATTCAAGGTTTCATTGTAACAAAGCTATGAAGGGTCTACCAACATTCAGAACAAACACTATTTTTAAATTATTTCTATGTCATCATGCAAAAATTCTGCATCAAATGCCTTCCATTTCCTGTTTAAAAGATAATTTTTAATAGTCTATTGTCTATAGATGCTGACATTAGCCCCAGAAGAGAAGTAAGAATGCTAAGAAGTAGGGCTGGAGCAGCCATGTGAAGCTATGGGTCTCAATGAACTCTAAGACCATGTCTTCAAGCCAGCAAAACCAAACCCTGTGGTGAAGGTGTCTGCGAGCTGGTACTGCAGGCTGCAGGGCAGGAAGGGGCAAGGGCCCAGGGGCTGGGGCATGCATGAGGTGCTTGAGGGGCCTGGCTAAATCCAAGCACCAGCACCTATGAGTTTGCTCTCTCCTCAGCTGGCTCCAAAGTACACCTGTTGCTTTTGCCTCTTCTTGCAGCTCCTGCACCTCCTGAAGGTCATCCAGGGAGCTAGAAACTACCAATCTTTCCCCCAAAGTGCAGGTAACTGTGCAGATAAATATGCACAGTTGATTTGGGGGGAACCTAGGCCATGACCAAACTTCCTCCATTATCTTCTCTGTTATCTGCTTAGGGCATAGATCTTTTCCTCCTGGAATGGAACTCCTTGAGCACAGAGAGGGACAATGAGTGTAGGAGCCTTGGCTCTGGATGCCTTTTTGAGTACATGCAGTGAGAGGGGGTGATGCCCATGCAGATTTTCCAGCAATAAGTCTAGACTTCAACTGGTCAGCAAAGGGGCCTCTTTAAAGAGAACATTTCCTCTTCTTGCCAGAGCAGTCAGGTCAATTTCAGAGACGGGTAGAGATGGACGTGCAGCAAGGGAAGAGTAAGAAGGGAGGCAGCCCTGAGGGCAGCCTGAATGCATAGAAACAACCACCACGTTATGCCACTGCCTCACTTCTCCCATCCCACAGGGCACTTGGTAGAGGGCCCAGGCCCAGATGAGGGTAGCATGGGACCACCATCGTGAAAAGGCAAGACTAAGATGATCCAGATAAGCACAGAAACAGGACTGCCAAAGGCAGCAAGGAGAGCCCTGATCAGGGCCTGGCTCTCTCATTGCTAAGTTATTAAGAAGACAATCACGACACAAAGCAGCAACCCCTTCCCTTCCCAGCTGCAGGGATCAGGCCTCAAAATCAGGGCCCATGTGCATTGTGCATCCTATAGAAATGGATGAGTGAGTGCATGTCAGACTAACATGAGGTTTTTCATCAGCTTCACAGCAAACCCACTTCCGCAGCACCAATTCTCTTCCTTTCTACACTAAATTGAACAGTACAGCAAAGTCCGGGCCCTCAGTCCTAAGGCCACTGCTTCTCAGCTGTTTTCGTAGCAGGTGGGGAGCTCTGAGTTCTCTCCCAAGTAGGTCTGATGGCCACGGTGTTTTTCTCAGCCTCATTCTAGGCGCCTAGGCAGGTTCTGAAGAAGTTCACTCCTAGACCTGGGGTAAGCAGGCCACCTCAGGGGCTGCAATCACTTCACGGGCCTCAAAGCTCTGTCAGAGTCCTTGCCTGGTCCCCTTGAGTCCATGGGGACCTGAGGCCAAGCTCCCCTCTTCAGGGCTGGTGGGTGAGCCCACTGTTCATGCCAAAATCGGTGTCACACAAACTCCTGCCTTCTTGCTGGCTC